TCACTCTGATTTGGTTTATACTGTTCGTGTCATGGCGATTGACTCACTATTTGATAACCACTCATTTGAAAAGTGCCAGAGCTCCAGGCAAGCTCGGTCCACAGCCGCCATCGACTCGCTCACCAGTCGAGCAATATCTTGTCTCTGCGATTTAGAGAACTCGAAGTATGCAAAGTGACCTATAGAGAGAAAAAAAACCCAACATAATATGCAGGTGAGTTGTCTTCCAACAGTGCCTTGTGCATGCACACAGATACATAATTACAAATAGTAATTATGGCTGCATTAAAAATAAAAAGAATATCTCAGTGAATAAAAGGAGAATCTTACTTAAGTCACATTATCCACTGACATATACCGTGCCAGTCTTTGAATTTAAAGTATTTGGTGTCCCACTTTTTTTCTCCCTTCTTGTTGTCCATCAATTTTTTGGACTGAAAATGCAACTCTGACTATGGTGCTGGTTATTGTGGTTATGTGGTGACTCACCAAAAGAAGAGTCTGTGGTGTGGTCTCTCCTTGGGATCAGATTACTTTGACTTTGACTTTTGCCCGAGAGCCAGTCCCAGTCCACTCCGGACTCTGTCGGAGGGTTGTTGACCCAACCACACATGTCCATCTCAAAGTCACAAAAACCTAAAAGGAATAAGAGATGCACAGACACACAGAGCATGCAGCCATATAAAAGTGCTCAAACACACTCATTGCAACCCCACTGGTTCCGTGGTCACTAACCTGTCGGAGGACAGGCACCATTTAAGACAGTGAGGTCGTCAATAGCGATATCTCTCCTTGGTCCATCCCCAGCTATCGCCTCAAAAATCACCTGTCAATCAGAATTACAATTACAAGTTACTTGGCTGAAACATTTAACATATAAGATGAGTGGAGCTATTACCAGTCAAGAGTTCCAGAACTCCTCCATTAAACAAAAAAAGAATTAATTAAAAGTGTGTCACTATAAGAAAGAAAGCCAAGACGTGCATCTTTAAATGTGAATAGATTTTGCTATGATCTATTTAAAAATCATTATCTAATAAATTTGCTCCTGCTGGGTGTTAACCTACCTGATACTGGGTATCAGGGCTGAAAAGCGTCACTCTCCCATGTCTCCAGTGCTTCCCCTGATCGCCACTTCTGTCCCAGAGCTTCTGGGAGTTTCTGTGGCTGTCAGGGGTCTGGAGGTACACACTGAGTTCCCCCACTGCACTTCCCTCCATGTAGTACCAGAACATTAGACATTCCCCATCAGGAGGGGTGGGCTCCATCGTAGCAGTCATCATTGCCTGTCTGGACCCCACAGGGTGACTCCACAACTGGGCACTTAGGTAATAACCTACACGTAAAATG